CCCCCCCCAAAAAGCCCTGTAATTCCCCAAAAGATTCCCATGTCCGGGAAGGTTGCCTCCTCCGAGAATGAGGGAGCCCTGCGCTTCGCGGCCGCCGGGCTCCTGGAAGAGGGAAGGCTGAAAGAGCCCAAGTGAACGCGAGTTATCGGGATGTAGGCGAACAGAGGGCTGTGCAGGTTGAAGACCAGGAACAAAAATTGTCATCATGCCTTCTTGGGATTGATTAGGGTTTAGAGTTTCGGGTAGCAAGAATTGCCAACGAATTTGAGCTCGAGCCCAGCAAGAGCTCTTCGCAGTCTCCTAGCTTGCAGCGTCTGAGACGCGGCCAGCGGGAGAGTGATAGACACGAGCCTGCTACATGTGGAAAAGTGGGATCTGCAGAGCCACAGCTTTCCTAAAAACAGGCAAGATGGACCTACTTCAGTTGGACTTGGGGGAGTGCTTCGGGATGTTCCTTATACTAACAGTCCTGAATACGGATTAGAATAGGGGGTTCAATAATCCTAATTAAGGACTGATAGCCTAAGGTCCAAAGGGGTGCTAATGGTCTTGGACACGGCTCAACCATCCTCTGATCTATAGAAACTGCCCAGTCCACAAGTGACCATCCCAGCTGCTGATCCACATTTCTTGCGCCACCAGGAGAAAGGAAAGGGCCGTGGCAAGGGATACAAGGACCGTGCAGAGCAGCAATGCCCACGACCCAGGGGCAGAGAGATTGGGAAACCCAGCAACTGCAGCGAACACCTCAGAGTTAAGGACCCTGAATGTTGACGAGATCTGTTTCACGGAGTTTGAAGTTCGAGCGGCTGAGTGTTTTGGGTTTATTTACGCCTGCGGTCGAGGATGCGCAGTGAGGTGTTTTTTGCGCAGGGAGACGTGATTGCGGGCAGATCGCACAACACGCCAGCAATGCACCCACCCTCCGAAGGAAGTGGAGACCTAGACCCGTAAGACCTCCTAGTTGTTCCCTCCTCGCTCCCCCCTGAAAAAAAATCGAAGGTTTCAACTGCAAGCAATTCGGACATCGATCCCGGGACTGCCCCGAGCCACCAGACGAGGCGCCATTTGCGGGGCGTGGGGGGGGGGGGGGGGATTCCCAACATATGGGGTACCCAGCATAGAAAAATACTTTTTTTTTTTTTTGGGGGGGGGGGGGGGTTCCTATCATAAGGATTATGGTATGTTGGGGGGTACCCCTTAGTTTGGGAAATAGGCATATTGGGGCCTTGAAGTGTTTCGGGGTACCCTGCGTCCACCATTTTCTTGCGCCCTTGACTCAGCCCAGCTGTTACCTTCACTCCCTTACTAGAAGCACAAACTCGAGTTGTGCGAGCTTGTCCACTCTTTGGCGAGCAGTTCTCCGACTGCAGCCCTGAATGTTTGAGCCTTCGGGAACTGGTGCGCCCTAAACCCTAAACCCTAAACCCTAAACCCTAAACCCTAAACCCTAACTGCAGGAACTGGTGCGCCAGAGGCTAGCCGCCAGGGCAGAGAAGGACCGCTCCCTGGGCTTGGGGCAGCTTTCAGACCCCTGGAGAATAGGATCCTTTTAGAAGAAGGACCCCAATAAGGTACCCCGATTTCGGAAAATCCGGATTTCGAAAACCCCCATATACCTATAGGTCTTTTGTAAGAACTCGAATGGGTGAGGGTTTGGAGGGTTTAGGGTTCAGGGTTTGAGGCTTTTTGAGTGTTTCGTGGCAGGAGGTCAGGGTGATGGCAAAAGGCTGGTGATGGCCTGCCTTGCATGCTGATTCTCCTAGATTTTCCGCACGACCCGATGGAAGGTACATGTGACAGGTGTCGACGACTTTCATCTGCAGCCCAGAGCACGTCAGTCTCCAAGCAAGAAATCGTTCAGCGGCTACAATGCACTTGACCCTAACACTAAGCCCTAAACCCAAGTCGAAACCCTGTTTTGCGGGCGGCAACAAACCCATCATGTCTTGCATCCAACTTCGCTTGGTCTCCGTGAGCAGGAGCGAAAAGAACGTGGCGACTAGTCGACCAGAGAAAATGCTGAAGGCCACATGCGCTATGTCAACATAGCGGTTGCACGGTTCAGACTTGGGTTTAGCTTCCAGGTTCAACAAGGGTTGAGGGTTTAGGGTTATTAAAGTTATTAAGGTCGAAAGGACCTTCCAAAAAAACAGGAGTGCCCTTTTGGGGGTAAAATAGTTAGGATTATAGCAAATTGGGGTAGAATTGGAGTACCCCTATTCTTTGGAAGTAGCCCCAAACCCCAAACCCAAAACCCCAAACCCCAAACCCTAAACCCTAAACCCTAAACCATGCGCAGCTCTTCGGGAGTTATGGAGACAAGGTTCTTGGGCTCCAACCTGAGGCTGGTTGGACACATACCACGTGGTTTGCTCGCTGGATTGAAGTCTGAAGTTGTCCAGGGTTTAGGGTTTAGGGTTAGGATATAGGGCTTAGGGTTTAGAGTTTAGGGCTTGGGGTTTAGGGCTTAGGGTTTAGGGTTTAGGGTGTAGGGCTGGCCTGCAGATCTCAAAAGCGGGTGCAACTTCGTATTTCTCTCTCGAAAGGTTGCCCAGCATGCACATCCCAGCAACAACCCCTTTGTCGGGCTACAGAAGATGGGTGCGGTGACATGTCTTCCTCCTGCGCGTGCCCGGCCGCAACAAGTGTTGGCCAGTTTTCTCCTCTGTTGCAAACACCGGCTCAGGAAGCTTCGGATCAACCACAACCCTTCTTGTGCAGTCCAGTTTGTTTGGGGGCTAGGGTGGGTTTAGGGTTTAGGGTTCAGAGCCACGGTTTTAGGGCTTAGGGTTTAGGGTTTAGGGCGCCACCTCCACAAGCAGCGGTAGGCAGGATGACATGATGTTGGCATGCTTGGCCCTTGCCTCCTGTCCAGCTACGAAAGCTGCCTAAACTAAACCCGTAAGAAAAAAATCTTTAACCCTTTGTCCGTTTCTTTCTGGGGGTGAGCCACGGGTGCAAAAAATCCCAGACAGATCGGAGGAATGAAGGATGGAAAGGACAGGGCGAAAGTAATGAAGAACCATAAAGGAAGGGAAGGCAGGACAGAAAGAGCAGAAAGAAGGATACAAAAAAACACGGAAAAGCCAACGAACGACAGGAAAAGAGACAGCAAGAAGGGACGTCAGACAGCAAGAAAGGGATGTCAACAAAGAAAAAGGAGACAACTACACCACAGACGGAAAGGCACGATGCAAGATTTCACCAACGGAAAGCAGGCAGGAAAGAACACATGAAAGAAAATCAGCCACTCGAAGCTATCCAAAAATGACATGGTAAACGAAAGCAACAACGAGTGAAACAAACTCGCACAGCAAGAGCTGACGACAAAAATGGGCCCAGGGGACAAGAATTGAACCAAATCAACCCTAAAAGTTTGTGGTCCACATGCCTTACATAATTATTGTAAGAGGGATTATAGTAGCATAGGGTATATGGCTCAAATTTGGGGGGTTCATTTGGTCCTCAAGGAAAAGTTCAATGTCCCGTCGGCCCGGGCGCTCTCGCCTATGGTTGCACGGCTGGTCCCAGCCTCCCTGGGGTTTCAAGCCACGCAAGCTGCAAGCTCACATGGGGGCTTGCGAAAATGGGGCACCCTAAGGTAGACCCCCAAATAGATTCCCTTATGAATAATGACCCCAAAAAGGTACTCCCAATTTTGGAAACCCCCACATTCAAGAACACCCTGAGCCGTTTCAAAGAGGTACAAGCATTGTGCTTTGCACTTCAATACAATACCCATGCTGTACGAGTTCTTTCTCAAAGCAGTCATACGAGCATCGGGCTTGCAAGCACGCCCCTCAGCCCCTGATTGATCCGCGCGAGCCTGCGTTAAGAACATCATGCCATCAAGAGCTATTGCCTCAGCGCCCCCATGAAGCCTTTCGAAAACTCAATCTTTGTGTTTGCAAATCGGGGGGGCGGGGGGGGGGGGGGAGGGGCACTGCCTTCTTAAGCCGTGCAAGCTTGCATTGTTAGCCTCCCTGTTTTTTCTGCCGCGCAAGCTGCAGTCAAAGTCCCTGAGGGTGCCGAGAAAGCGACTACAGGTCGAGAAGTTTCCCATAAGGTGTTTTAATATAAGGGAATCCTGCCATTTTGGGGCCTTATTGTAGGGGTCCCCTATTTTCGTAAACCCCCATATGAACTCACGAGCGCAAGCCTCTAATGGCTCCCTGCCAGGTTCAAGGGCAGCGTCGCCATGGGGCGACTGCTGGGCATTTTGTTGGTGAGCGGGCCTCCTCGGCTTAGAGATCAAGGCTACATTTTGGCCTCCAGTGTCCAAGAATCGCCCGCACTGAGTCCACGCAAGCATGCCAGGGTCTAGCACGGAGAGTCAGAACTCAGAGAACTGCAAACCTTTCCAGGAACAAACCAGACCTCCCCCTTCTTCGGAGAAACTTGAGGATAAGTTGGAACGTCTCACCGCCGACAGTGGACCACTTGGGATCCACGCTGCCCTCGGGAATCTTCAGCAAGCCGCGTCACGGACTGTTGCCTAAGTATCTCACAAATACTGCCTTACTTGGGATGTTCCCCCTCATGCTAACAGTCCATCATAGGGATTAGAGTACCCCCCCCCCCCCCCCCCACTAAAGTCCCTATTAAGGACTGTTCCTATAGGGGGGACCATCCCGATGCCTGAACCTTTTTCATGACTTTCAGAGCTCCTGGCAATTCAAAAGCTCATAAAAAAACAACGCTCACGACGGTCTTGACGCGGCATAGGCAGGCCAGCAGTTTTCTCATCCGCTCGCGGACGATGGACAAAAGCCCTCAGAGCCTGCGCAGATTTCTTTTCTTTTGCAGGTGTCGTAGCGCCGGCTGAAGCCGAAACATTGGCAAGGTTACCAGGAGCCTGCATTTCTAGGGGACATCTCGGAAGGTGGCGTCAGGTCGCGCTTGGCTCCCCGGATGCCGTTGTACTCATAGCGCTTTGCTTGCACATGAACATCCTATTCGCCCCAAAATTGGCCCTGGGGACTAGCCTTCCATAGCAGGTACCACTGGCGGATCTCCGCATGGCGGTGTCCAAGGCGGGGCAAACTCCCTTGGCGGGGATGATTGAGCATCTTGCCGTGTCCTTCCTTCGCAGCAAGATGTAGGCTTGAAGAAACGCCAGAGAGATCCAACCAGATCCTGAGAGCTTTGTCTTGCATGCCCCACGAGTCTGACCATGCCCCGAGGTCTGCAGATAAAGACCTAGTAGTAGAGTTGGTAACCTTTAACCTTTTTGGGGGTAGTCCCCTTAAAATCCCAAAGGTTAACCTTTAGTTCCCCCAGGTTACTGGACAAGTAAGAAGAGTGGGCACGTGTCAAACGAGCTGTCGACCACTTGGATGCCAGCTCACACAATCAGAAATGTATCTCTTCCGAGCACTCAATAGGGGTTTATGAAAAAGAGGGTACCCTAATATGGACCGCAAATGGTAGGATTTTCTCATCAAAAGGACCACCTTAAAGGTATCCCTATAATTTCGGCAACCCCCAAATCCTGCGGCCAGCCTGCACCCCGGCCTCCAGGAGCCGTCTTTAGCCAGCAGCGAGGCTCCCACGCCGCAGGCGTGGAGTCAGCGCAGCTTGGCGGCGTGTTCGGAGCACGTGCAAGAACATGATTAGCACACATATACGATGAATTGTGTGAAGGACTGTGCAGTTTACAATTATGGCACTGTAGTTCTTGACCTTGAACACCTTGAAAATCAGTCCAATTTGCAAGTACTTGCGACCTTACCAGACTTATCAGCAACCAACTTGGACTGCCTTACGGGAGAGGACGAGCGGCTACAACACCTCCCTTTTGTCCACCATATTCCTAGCCGGAAGGTTTGTTCGTGACACGGCCCAGGCTTGCATGTGACGCGTTTAAATCGAGCTTATGACACCGAGGCACTTCTGTGCCGTGGTCCGCAACACCAACACCAGTGCGAAGCGTTTCTCGTGTGCAGGCCTGAGATATATTGGCCATGCTTGTTTCGTCAATCGGTCAGGACTGGGGCAGATTGAGGGTCTAGGCCAGCGAGTCATTGTGGATTGCGCCAGTTTATGCACAGAATGACGGGAAACGGCCTAGCAGGCAGCTTTCCTTGAAGCTCTCTGTGCGGAGCTTGCAGAACATCAAGCCGTTGCGTTTTATCCGTCATCGCAGCCATTTGTCGGAGCACCCAAACCTTGCCGCGTAGCCCTGGCCTGGAACATTTCAAACGGCCTGGGAGGCCGGTCCAGTGGTGTGGTTATGACATCGACTCCCCGCTAACCTTACGTAGTAGGAGACATCAGCAGCTAGTGAGCATTTGAGGGACCAAGAGCACTCCGGAGCATAAACCAAGACCACTCCAAGGGCCCACCAAGATGAGAGCACACTGGGGGGGGGGGGGGGGATTCATGCGAATCCCCCCGTCAGGAAAGTGCGTCCCCTGCCACGGCTCCCCGACACGGAGCAATCCAATTGCCCTCAACATTGGCCTTATTTGGATGGTAAGCTTCCCGCTGCCCTAACTTGGGTATGCTTATGGTAGCTTCGTCATGACCAATGTGTATCAAGTGGGGGGGGGGGGGGGGGGGACAGTGATTTGGCACCTCGGGCGAGGGGCGCTGCTATTTGCGATATGTTCTTGCACAGAAACGAGGTCCGCCTCTCATAATTCCATTTGACCCTTAACGTATAATCAGGAACTCTATGATAGAAGGTCTGCTATGGGGAAATGTGAGTTTCGTGGTTTCGTGTTTGTGTGTTCGAGAAGTTTATGACTGCTTTCGTTATCCTCAGTTGGGCAAGCTTATGAACTAATCTAACTGACTGAACTGAACTGATTATCGAACGAACCGAACTTACAGACTGTCAAGCGAGCTTGTTTCTTAACTGCAGAAGAAGTTGGAGGGCCTAAGGCGGGTGCGAGGAGGACGTTCCCCTAAGACTTCGTTAAAAAAGGGGCCCAAGTCAATTTCTTCAGTCAGGAGCTGTAGCAGAGCACCACTTAAGCCTAAGCCTGAGGATGTGAGCTTCAAAGCTTAGATTGGGACATGGAGCAGAAGACCCCTACCATCCTGCAACTTCACATTAGGGTTAGTTTAGGGTTTAGGGTTTAGGGTTTAGGTTTTATTTTTTTGGATTAGGGTTTTGCTGCGCCTACCGGACCCCCAAGACATTGCTGTGAGGTCGGACTATTGTGGGCAGGCAATCATGGACGTGCTAGAACCCGCTTTGAAGAGAGCCAGGCGGGGGCCTCTGATCTCCCCATTCAATTATCGGGCGCCTTAGAGTGCATGAACCGGGTCCTGTTGTTGTGCACAGCCCATCCACCGCCAAAGAAAACGATGTTGAGGTGAGGCCTCTTGCGTTATGGTGCTTCTTAGGATTCTTGTGCCATCTCTTGCGTGTGTCTGAAGCATCAGGGCGACAGGGCTGAACACAGCCTGCAACAAAACAATGCAATGAACACGTCACTACTGCGCCCCGAAAAATCTTCCATGACTCTATAGCTTGCCTATCGAAACATGCATCCTTCACGATGGGCATGTCCACGGGATTGTCGGGGGGTTTAGGGTTTAGGGTTTAAGTGATGTGGGATCAGACCCCAGGTGAAGTACGAAGCCTGTTGCAAAAGGGTTTAGGGTTCACCTCTTTGCAAGGCTGCAAGAGACAAGCGAGCAGCCGAACGAGAGAAGGAGGGCAGTGGCCTTTCCAGTGCCTCGGCCATGACATGGTCGGGACAATGTTTGGGGGTTTAGGGTTTAGGGAGCTTTGGACGGACGATCCTGTCCTGTCCTGGCCCCCATGTGGAAGGGTGTGACATTGACTTCGGCTTTTTTGGAGGCGGCGTTTGTTTGTGTAGAACCTTGTTGAGAAGGAGCCCCTTGCCTAGGAAAAGAGTGACCCGAAACCCTAAACCCTAACACCTAAACCCTAAACCTAACCCCCCCCCCCTCCCTGCACGAACGAAGGACATCACTGGCCTTTGGGCGGATGCTTGGCGGCCTTTCAGTTCTAGAACCTGTTTCTTTTTGGGGGGCATTTAGGAACTTAGGGTTTAGGGGCTAAGGGCCAGCTGATGTAAAGAGTCTGGGTTCAAAAAGGGTTTAGAGCTCTATTCAAGCCTCCGGGGTCCTGACTCCGGACTTGTGAATGCCGCAAGAACGCAATTCGGATGTCGCCCGATGCAAGATGTCCACACATGTCCAGACAGAAACGCCTTCGCTGCCAATCTTTTGTGTGTGTGTGTGACCTTGGGCAAAGGTTTTTCCCGGGTTTGCTTGATGTTCGATTTCCACCCCCCCCCCCCCCCATGTTTTTTTCTCCAGGTCAGCGATCCGGAAGATCGATGCCACCTCTTTCGTTGGCGGCAAGCGCCTGATGGCAGGCGCGCGTCGGGAATAGGACACGACACGCACGCGCCCAGCGAGCACAGAGGATCCTTTTAGGGTTTAGGGTTACCCCTTTAAAGCCCCCCCCCCCTTGTACCCCCTTTATACCCCCTAGAATACGAAGCACTGGACGAGCCAGGACTTTCGAAGGCGTCCAGATCGGCTTCGAGGCTCTCAGGGAGACGGGGGAGCCTTACAGTATCGTTATACCAAGTGGGTTGCAGAGCTTGTGGCAACTCATGGGTTATAGGACCAGCTATTGTAGAGCTGAGCCACGGAGCACTCGTGGCTATCGAGGCTGGGTTGACCTTGGTAACATGGTCTGCAGAGGCGTCACACCATGAAGCAGCCGCTGCTTCAGGCCACCAGCGACGGCTGCATCGATGCTTCCGGAGCGATGCAGTGGCGCACAACTGCCAGGGCCTTACAATGAATGCTCAGTTCGACTGGATTCGTTTGCCGCAGGGGAGCATGGTAGATGAAAATGTTGTTGGTTTTCTTTTTAAACAAGCTTCAGGTTTGAAACTGAATGGTGTCGGGCAGCGTATATTCTGGGACGAAAGAACTGGTGTTATCTTCTTTGCCCTTGCAGGTTAGGCAGACATGCGGCAGCACAAGAGAAGTAACTGCGGGGAAGTAAGACAAGTTGAGTGTGAGTTTCATGTGCACTCTTTGCCAAAATCGGTGATTTCGGAAGGGCATTCCCAGCGCCTGCGGAACAACACTTTCCACCCTAGCAGAGTGCGAAAACCGCCGTAATCCCATAAGACCTTCCTATGCCGAGGGCCGGCAGTGGCATGGCCAGCTGGACCCAACAGGACGGTTGATGTAGAATCCAGGCCTTCTGAGGTTCTTTCAGGTAGGGACATGTCGTTTCAGGGCAGCTCATTAGTTTCACCTCGTTTTTTTGCAGGATGGTGCATCCGCGATGGCTCCTTCCCTGCCTTTTCGGAAACTCTTTTGTCTCCTTTAAACTTCCTTGGCAACCAAGCAGAACACAGATCGGCCTAAAGGCGCAGTGCCTTCGTCCAATTTTTGAAATCGACTGCGGTGACTACGCTTTTCTTAGGATCTTCGAGAGGGACATACTATATTCTGCTATATACCCTAAAAGCCTCCTAGTACAGGCTTAGCCCTTAAGCCGCGGACTGCGAAACGAGGCTTCTACGCCTGCCCCACAAGTGGAAAGCGTCTCGGCACCTTCGCGGCCATCCGCCAAAGGGAGGTCTGCAGGGTTTGCAGCGGCAAAGTTTTTGGCCGAAGCTTATCATGACTTTTTCAGGCTGAAGTGCAAGTTAGTGCGTTGAAGGGGTTGTGGCATGATCTACACACGACGTGTAGAGCATTTTTGGAGGGATCGTCCCGGCAGAGCTTGACAACATTTCTTCCTGGGTTGCACTCCTGGGCAGCAGCACGCAGACAGTCAACGCCGTGTCATGTCATCCAGAATCTGGGCAGGTCCAGCCAGACGATCCGCCACAGGATGTGTCTGCGGACAGGCCAGGATGCCATGCTACATAGGTTTCCGGCTCCGTCTTGCGGTGTGTTTATGAAGGGGTAAGGATCGAGGGACCCCTAGAAGGGACCCTTAGTCTTATTCCCCTATACATCCCCTATATATATATATATATGTATACGTATATATGTATGTATATATATATATAGAATATAGCCTCTATATACCTAAGTCCACATTCGCCGCATTCGCCCCTTGCAGAGGTCGAGGATGGAGTTTCAAGACTGGGCTGATGGCCTGTTTTTCTCCCTGGACCGCGATGGCAAGGACATCTTTGTGTGTCCATTCTGAGGAGTTTCGGGCCAAAAGCTGTCCGGCAGTTCTTCTCCAGCGTGCTGTAGTCTCGCAGAGCCTCGCAGAGCACTTGATCTTTCGGATGTAGGCTGGGGAATTCAAAAGAGAGACCTGCACCACACAAGAGTCGCCAGGCCGATCCCGCTTCCCCCTTCCCCTCCTCCCCTTTCCCCTCTGTCGGAACTGGCTCCGCACAAGAGCCTCGAGGCAGGTTGAACTTCGAGGAAAGCAACAGCAGCCTCCCAAATAGTCATGTTCGGACTTGAGCCAACTGTTGCCTCCATGAAGCCGTGCAAGTCTCGACATACGGACATGCCGGTAGGGTACATCTTTACGTTCCCGTAATTATGGGTTGACCCTGTAAACGTACACAGGAGCAGCTTTTGGATGCAGATGGGCTACAGGCAACTTGGGGGTTTTTGGGCCTTCACGACCTGATGCCAGTCGACCCATGTCGACCCATGTATTCTTCCTTAGACACCCTCCAGGCCTTTGCAGTTTTCTCCTTCGGCTTGGAAGCACCTAACTTCGGGATATGCAGATGCAGCTGCATATTCGCAGGTCATGATGGAGTGGGAGAAACCATACATGGAGAAGTGTGCCGACGAGTTGGGAGTCAACTCGGCACCTCGCTGTATGGCACTGGGATTTGAGGCTATGGCGTTTCGGGTCTCAAGGGGCGCCCGGAATTGGTTTTACTTGTAGGGCCAAGTTCCTGACAGAACATACTGTTGCTCTTTTCAGTCTCCACAGAAAGGGGCGGCCAAAATGGGCAGAAGACGGACATATCCGGAAATCATGGAATACGAAGCGAATCAGGAAGAAGACGGACGAATCCGGACATGTTTCAAGATCAACGGAAACACCTGGAAGTAAAGCAATACGAAACGAATCGAGAAGAAGACAGACATGTCCGAAGATGAAAGACGAACTCCATAAAGTAAACTGCCGAATCACAAACACTTGGAGCCTTGCAATAGGCGTTTTTCAGTCCAGAACTCAAACAACTGACGATTCGAGAAAGTGTCAGGCAAAGGTTGGAGCGAACCATGAAAATATGTTACGCTATGCAAGTTCGGGGTTTTGAATAGACGAGTTGTGACAGGCTTCACATGGCATACACGTGGGCTTGGTTGTGTTCCCTTGTTTTTCAGAAACTGCTCTGTTTGGGTCTTCGCGGTGGTGTTCTTGTGGTACTCAGTGTACTCGTTACAGCCCGAAGATCTCGGCACGCACTCTGTTGGATTACCTTGCTGCCCCTGCCCTACAGTACCCTAGATATTCCATCAGTCCGTTCTTTTTTAGTCGTGTGCAAAGTCACATTGCATGCTGGCTCCTCCCTGAACATCCCGCGCACGTCGCAGAACGTCGTGGGACCAACACGTGTGAGGAACACAAGCTTGTTTTTTCTACATAGCCCTGGCAGCTACTACCTGTAACGATGGGACGGGAAACATCCATGTCGTCAAGGGTCTCGTCTTCAGGACACGGACGTCCTGGAAGTGGGATTCGGATGCGGCTACAGCGCCAGCCGGATTCAGGTCTGGAGCATCCGACGGGTTGTCATAATTGCAATGACCTTGAACCGCACCGTGTACCAGCATGCTCCGGCTTTGCACAGCCGGTGCAACTGAGAGTGATGACCTTGAATCCTAGAAAGGCCTGTGGTCATTGCACAGTAGTATTGGCGATGAAGATGCCGTCCGACAGTGTTCCGTCCGACAGTGTTTGGGGGGGGGGGGGGGGGGGGGGGGGGGACTGCACACAAAAGTGCTGGGTTTCGGCCGTTAGTTTAGGAGGGGACTCCAGAGAGGAGGTAGTAGCAGTGGAGTGTGAGACACATGGCTATAGGGATCGCTTCTCCAAGTCCGCAGGAGTACAAGCCCCGCTCCCACACAATCATCGAGTGCACCTGAGCTGTGATATTTCTTTTTTTTTAGGGTTTAGGGTTTAGGGTTTAGGGTTTAGGGTTTAGGGTTTAGGGTTTAGGGTTTAGGGTTTAGGGCTGAGCTGTGAGCTGTGAGCTTTTTTTTTTGTCGGGTGATTTGGGGATTGGAATGGATTGGGGGGGGATGGGGGGAGGGGGGGGGTGCTGAAATGCGGTCATGGCTGGGTGCAGAGGGGGCAGTAGGGATAAGTAGCCAGCGTCTGGCCACGTGAGAAAGCAGGCTTCTGCTGGATGCTTTTACCTTTGCCTACTTTCGGTTTGGCATGCTGCATCTCAACATTGCTCGCTGCTTTGACAGTTCTCGTGTGTACAGTAGTTGCCAGAGGCTTTGTGTGGCAAGGCAGGAGGGCGTTTCGAGCTCCATCTGCACGGGTATAGTAGAGTCAATTCTCGAAATGTCGTCTTCTATGAACTTTCCGGATTTCCCGAGGCATCTCCGGCATGTTCTTGCCCGTAGACTTTATTCTTGTTGTAGGGCGGTTGTGGGAGCTTCATGTCCATGCTTGCTGGCGTCACGATGCCAAACCCTAGGTTTTAGAAGCCCTAAGCCCTAAACCCTAAACCCTAACCCCTAAGAACCCTAAGAACCCTAAGAACCCTAAACCCTAAACCCAATGTCAGAGAAGCAGCTCTTGCCCCCCGTGAGGCTCAGAGGTCGTCCTGGAGCGACTCAAGCATTGGGCCGCCGACAAGCCGAATGCACCTGGGCCTGTGGGAGAGGTGTTTAGGGTTTAGGGTTTAGGGTTTAGGGTTTACAAGGGGTGCAGGGTTTACAGGTTTTACAGGGTTTACAGGGTTTATAGGGTTTCGAAGAACTGATCGCAAGGCACCGGCGCAGCTCCGAGAGAGTAAGATCATGCTTTCCCAAGCCCCGTTGGACACCATGCACAGAGCTGTTCACAAACCCTAAACCCTAAACCCTAAAACTGTTAACTAATATTTCCAGTGGCGGCCACAGCTCTCTGCCGCAGCCACCACGTCAAAGGAGACAGAGGGAGAGAAGGAGGAGGAAAATCTCAAAGACATGGGGAATAGGATGAAGGGTCCCTTCCAGGAGGGTCCCTTCCAGGGGTCCGTCCTTATACCCCTCAAGTCTAGTGTATATACGATTGCTGAGAGGGGGAAGAACCAGAATGGAGAAAAGATGGAGCCCCTCTGGGTTTGTTTCCGTCGTCTAGACGACTCGTGTTTTCCTTGGTGGACCAGTCATACCCCTTTGCCCTTTTTTTCTTGGGGTCCTGTAGGTTCCCTTGCAAAGTAATTGAGCAACCCCCAAAAAGGGTACCCTCCGTTTTGTATTATTAATTATCGTACCCAAACCCAAAATGCTCATTGTACATATTCTGGGTACTGGGCTACCAATCAAGGGGGATATTTAATACCTATATGAGGTCATATTCCTCGAAGTAGCCCCCTATTGTCCCTTATAAGGGTCCCTTTCCTTTAGTCCCTTGAGCCAAGTCTTTCAAAACGGGGACCCCGAGGTCCACATCGTGGAGGGCACCTGGCAGAAGCGACTTCCTGAACTGGGCCAGCGCGGGGCCTGGAACTTTGGGGGCTTTGTTGGGGTTGACAAGGCTGTAAGAACGAGTTTTTGTTTAGTGTTGTCGCAGGGGTGCTTCTATCGTTGGGGGGGGGTTTAAATTTGAGTGTGTCGGCTTGCAGGGGAGCTTCAACGCTACAGGTACTTGGTTGCCCCTACTGCGGCTGCACTGCTGCAGCGTGCATCGTTGCCCTGGGGTGCGGCAGCAGTCAGGTTCGATCGTATCTTCTTCGACGACTACGGTCAGCCGGGCATTTCGGACAAGGATGCAGTGGATGTCCTTGCCTGGGGCTCTACGGGTGGAGGTCCAGCCTCCCTCTTCCGCGTGTCTCCCTTGTTTCTTTTTTTTGCTGTTATGTCTTCCCTTTGTTCACTCTTGTATTTCTTTCTGTTTGTCTCTCTCTCTCTCTCTGTCTCTCTCTGTGCCTATATTACGCGTATGTGTACATATTCGCTTGTTGTTTGGAAAGATCAACACGTGACATGGACTGTTGAAATTCTCCCGTCTACGTGCGCAATGGACTAGTGACTAATGAAGTGCCAGCTCCATTAGTCCGCATAACGCTTTTGCCCTCTGCAGTGTTCGAGCTTGCAGGCTTCGGCGGTGGGGACCCATGCCCTCTGAAAGCAAGAGATGGAGAGATGGAGAGAGAGAGAGAGAGAGAGAGAGAGAGCTCACTGCCGTCGTGGCCGGGGGTCCTTCGGGGCTCTCTTCGCTGGGCAGAAGAAGACGAAGAAGACGAAGAAGAAGAAGAAGAAGAAGAAGAAGAAGAAGAGAGCTCACGTTTTCACACACAGACTGACTCGGCAACGCATGCCCCTGGGGTGGTCTCCTTCGCGGGGATCATGTGCAGCGCAAGCAAGCAAGCCAGCCAGCCAGCCAGCCAGCAAGCAAGCAAGCAAGAGAGAGAGAGAGCACGCGAGCGTTGGGAACTTGAAGCGCGTCTCTGAAAAAAATGGTGTGATGAGGAGATGTTTCAGAACTGCCCAAATGAGCAGTACAAGGACATCTACGAGGACTCGCAGAGTCATTTTCATGCGTCTGCCAGATGCAATTTATGATTCCCATGGAGTACTGATGCGAATTCCTGTTGGTTCGGGCGGAAGACCAGGTTTCTGAACCTCGCCTTCCAGTTCCATTCGCGCTGCTTGGCCAAGTAACCGGGATCGATTTGGTCGTCGGTTTGGATGGGGGCAGCGTCTGTCTGGGAAAGTGACGTATGAGAACGTACCAATAATGTCGGGTTCGTGGCTCTTTTGGGGGGCCCCCAAATCCTTGAAACGGGCGGCGCCGCTTGCCCGAAATTGACTTCTCTGCATGCTGAGTGCCCGGTTAGTAAGAGGTTCGAATCCGTTTGTGCAGCAATCCCTTATTCAGTCTTCAGGTCAGGCACTCGACAAGCAAGCATCATCCCATATTCTTCTGTGCGCCAGGAAACGGCACAAGAGTCTCTGGCTATTTGGTCTCTTGGTCAAGTAATTCTTGCAGCTTGCTTCTTCTTGGAAAGTAGGTGTCGTTCTTGGCCATGTAGCAGTGTCGAGCTCAAGCTGGGGGCGTCGTCATTGGGACACACCTTGCATGGGACTGGTTAATGCAGCTGGGGCATGTGCGGCTGGTCTGCGCATACTTGTCAAAACCGCGCTGTCCGGTTCCAAAAGCCTTGAGATGGAGAAATGAGGCAGAGGTAACCTTGCTGTAGTGAGATGTTTTCGCGCAGACATGTTTCACTCTTTCGGCTGATGCTGGCGGGTGGTGAGGTGAGTGTTTTTTATGCAGTAGGACGGGGGGCTTTAGCATTCGCCTGGCCACTCCCCAAAGCTGTTCCAATACTGAGAACCATTCTAAGCCGACAGCACCACTTCCCTGGGCACCAGCTGAACCCCACAAAACTTGGGGTTATCCACCCTATGCTACCATAACCACTAGAATCCTAAGTAGGCATTTGAACAACCCTCTTTAGGGTATTCGGTTGAGTTAACTTGAAGTACCGCGGATACCAGATCCCACGCACCCCTTGGCCCAGGTGAGTCCCATCGATATCCAGAGAAATGATGTCGACGTCAAGTATGAGAAGCGCCCTTAGCTGCACTTGGAAGAGTGTGCCGCTGCCGCTTCCCTTTCCAACTTGTTCATGGTTTCTGAGACCTGGCAACTGACGTTTTCCGACCTCGCAGTTGAAACGTGCAAGAGTGCCTGGCTATGTGTTGGGCGTTGAAGCAGCCAGTGGCGACCAAGGTATGCAGTGGCGCCTCCTGAGCACTGCGACTACTTCTTCAGTGCCCAGCCACAGATATAGTTTGTAAGGTACGGCCGCACTAATTGCAGGCTATCCTTGGCTAGGTCAAGGCCCTCCGGTTGTCGGAAAGCAGCATTTGGAGTTCGCAGTGGCGTTTGGGCACTCATATCTTATGGCTAATATGTGGCCTCCAAGACACCTTCAGCCCAAGCTTTGAGGTGACAAGGCCGTGGTTCCCGTGTTGACGAAGAAGCTTGGCAAATTCAGATTGCACTTTCTGCTCAACGGGTGCCATTCATGTCTTCACCAGGGGAACGTATCTTCCAGTGTACCTGGCATACAATGCCTCGCAGTCACTTGGGAGAGGTCCAAGAAGCCTCACGGATCTTTTGGCATTTGGAACATGACGGATGCCTGCGTCGTCGGGTTTATAATGTGGAGGGAGGCCCGTCAGCAAACCCAGTCCTGAACAGCATGCAGAATCTGGAGCCATTCTACAGCAAGTGCCTGAATCATTCGAACAGGGTTTTTGCGGGTTATTCAAGAAAAGTTATACAAGGACCATATCAGGGATTATTTTGAGTAAGTATGCCGACCCCTATACTGTACGGCCTCCTCTTATGCACCCAGTCGAGGATGGCGGCACCCAGCGACGGCGGCTCGACGCGCAGCCCAAGCCCTGCAGGACGTCACAGCAAAAAGGGCCAACTCCCCATGTCTTCACAGTTCGGGATGTTCGCCCTTGTGTCTTAGCATTCCTTAATAGGGATTATGGTACCCATTCTGATAATCCCTATTAAGGACTGTTTGTATAAGGTGACCTTCATATGTCTTCCAAGAAGAGGTGCTCCTTTGATGAATACCCCTCAGACGCACAATTCTTGGGATACTGGGGAAGGCTTACAGCATGTTGTTTTTCGCTAGGATCTTCCAGCCGAACCCTAAACCCTAAACCCTAAACCCTAGACCCTAGACCCGAAACCCTAAACCCTAAGCCCTAAGCCCTAAACCCTAAACCCTAAACCCTAAACCCTAAACCCTAAACCCTAAACCCTAGACCCTAAACCCTAAACCCTAAACCATGATCTGAGCTGCGACAGGAGCTTTTGACATGGAGCCATGCGAGCACTGAAAGGTGTCAAGTGGCTTGCCTGACAAGTGGTGGCTGCTTAAAGGGCCCATTGAAGGTTTAGGGTTTAGGGTTTAGGGTTTAGGGTTTAGGGTTTAGGGTTTAGGGTTTAGGGTTTAGGGTTTAGGGGCTGTTTACTTGAGATACAGATTCCTGACTGTGGGCTGCTTATTAAAGGGTCCATTAAAGGCTGTTTATTTGAGATATAGAAGGTGGGCACGTGTGGGCTCGCCTCTTGAGTTCACAATCGCAACCCAAAGTCTGAAACCGTTTCCATTGCAAGACATGCAAGAGCCAGCACAGTGAGTCTTACTCGAAAGCCTAGTGAAACCCAAAACTCTACAGGCCCCCGCGCGCGCGCGCTAGTTGTGAGAGTCGGAAGCTTACTAGGAGCCGCCCAGCCGTAGCGACTGCAGGTCAGGTTCTCCCGGTCCGAAGAGGCGCTTCTGATGTTGGACGTCCGACCTCCCTATAAACATGTACAAATGGCCAAAGGTACCCCCAGAAAACAGCAACCTCCAAATGAACTTCGGCATGAATGCGCCCCGGGATACCGCTCTCTTCCGAGCCGGAAATCTAGCCAGGGCTACCTATATATCCGGATACCCAGATCCTGCTGCCCCAATCCAGGCCCCCAAGCAACATGTAGCAGCATCCGAATCCGTTGCACTAAAGACCTTCCCGTTTCCAAGAGCAGCTGACAGACAGCTGCTTTTGTGGCAGCGCGCAGACCCTTTGACGTGTGCGCCAATTGTTCAAAGAGGGCCTTTGGCTGGAGTGGCGGATGTGACACTGTGCCTGAAACAAGAGATTTTGCAGGATGCTATCAGAATTCAAGTGAGTAAGTAACTCGCGGGCATCCTTGACTCGAGCTTGCTGAAGCAACAAGTGAGTGGAATGATCTCGATACCACCCGAAGTGTTGAACCACACGTCTGTCAGGCGTGCGATAAATCATTCAGGTGGTCCCCTGTTATAGCAAGAAGCTCCATGCATGGTGTTGGCAGTAACGGCAGCTGCTATATCCCTTGTAAGTATGCCTCTTGCGATTCTTACTAGAATCAGGAGAGTCCTAGACTCCTGTAAACGATCGCTACGCAACAGTTGAGAGGGCTCGTGGCCTTCCTTTAATCATGCACGAGGTGCATCTTTAGCATGCTTAGTTGGCAAGTCTTGGCAATGTTCCCTGAAAACATTAAGAATTATAGAAACAAAAACATCCGTCTGTAAGTCGTTCACCTGCCGCTCTGGCTATTTCAAGCCCATGCCGCAACAGGGAACTTGTTCCACACTCTAGGGACCCATTCCCAACCAAGGAAGTTGTGCTGGTAAGCTCGCACAGCTGAGGGTCAAGTTTGAATCACAAGCTATAATGTTGAAGGCATGTTCTCATCTGCTTGTGGACGGCTGGGTCATGCTAAGCATGGTAGCATGGAGTCTTTTTGAATCTCAACTCCCCAAATTTGATTCTAGGTCCAAATGGGATAGTAGGGTCCAGTGGTCTCCACGAAAGACCAAGCAAAACGAACTCCTCGTAAGGTTGGCCCGCGGTTTTTTTCACTAGCTGTCACTGCTCCCTCAATGTCCACTAAACTCCGACAGGGAAAGGGGCCAGAAGAACGATTTAAGCCTCGCGTTCCGCGAACACCTGTTTCGAAACTGCGTGGGCGACGTACCAACGCGGACTGTGCTATCAGCTGGTCTGCTTCTGCCAACTTCATGTACAAAACTTACGAGTACTGTTCGAAGATATAAACAGGCAGTACCAAAAAACATATATATATATACATATATATATATATTTATTTCTTTATATAATATGTATATATATATACACACGAGATACATGTAGGAACGTCCTTCGCTTCCTGAGCCGAGTTCTAGCATACCGCTGAATCAGACCGCTGGTAGGCCCAGGAGCTCCATACACTCTCCATTGTTGGCATGATGTAAAATGCATGGAACCAGCCAGTGACAGATACAATGACAGTGTCAGTGCCTGTGCCTGCGTCTGTGCGTGTGTCTCTGCGAGTGTTCCCACATGTGTGTCTCTGGGACAAAAGCCCAGGCGACATGGGTTTCCCTATTTTCCCTATCCCCACCGCCTGCACAACAATGAAACCAGCGATACCGCTTTTTGTTCATAGGTCCAACCCCTGGCTGAGAGTACCGTCGTGACTTGTGGCAAAAAGTTTGCATCGCAGCCCTATGGCGTCGACATGTTGGATCCTCTAGTCGCTGGAGCTCCAGGTTTGGCAGATTCTGCATTCTGCATCTAACTGTTTGAAGTCTTGCCTCTCTTGTCGGTCGGGCCGGTCTGAAGGGCTGTCTGTGCAAGTCGCAGTTTCGGAGGCACGAAGACGTTTGTGAATGTATACTTTCTCTGATGCGAACGGTAGGTACCAGGAATCAAAGAGGTGGAAGGTGCCGGGTTCTGGGGATTGCCTTGCAGATGTCCAATCAGCCCAGGTCCGACCACAGGAGAATCGCAACCTAGAAGCAAGCTCTAGATCTTGCGGCAGTCAGGCAGCGTCGTCCTAGGTTTTTCTTCGTGTATAGCAGAAGAGGCTGCTTTGCCTCCGTCCCCGAGAGACCGTAAGTTGCAACAAGTAACTCAGACGATTATCACAGAAAATTACTCCCAGTCGAACACTCTAGTGATCCCGAGCAGGACTAGGAGCTCTCGCTGTGGACTTGCATAATTCAGGGGGGTGCAGCTACTAAGCACCCGGTCCTTTCCCGAGGGGTTCGTTTCAGTGATTTTTAGGTTTCGATACCTGTCGGTTTGCCAGCCTACTCAGTGGCTAAAAAACAGCTGCAAAATTGCATGTTTCACGTGGTTCGGTGGTGTTTTCAGTGGTTCGATGGTGCGGCCGGCGTGCAGTGATTACTCCCTGGGCCTTTCCCGGTGCTGTTTGCGTTGGATTTTGGTTTCTATGCCTGACGTTTGGTTGTCCACTTCGGTACCCAAGAAAAAACAGCTGCAAACATGCATGTTGCACGTGGTTTGATGGCGAATCTCAAGCCCTTCGCCGCCTTCTTGTGGTTGCATGGCGAATTTTCAAGCCTTCTTCACCGATTCTTCGCCTTCACCTATTCACCCTTCACCACACTTGAGCTTAGGAAATGAAGTGAACGAACAAGGAGCGGCGCCCTAATTAGATAACTCGCGTGTGCTTTGACCAACCCACAAAGCCCACGGCCCCTAACTCTCACATGTTTTGTGGGCCTCCGCCGCCTTCGCCCTCAACGTGGGCTGTGTTCAAGCCGCCCCGCTGCCTGCTGCACAAAAGCCTGAATTCAATTGCTGCACAAAAAGCTTAATTACCGAGGGGGGTCGGTAATTAAGCTTTTTCAAGTGGCCCCGCCGCACAAAAACCTTAATTGCTGCACCAAAAGCTTAATTACCGAGGGGGGTCGGTAATTAAGCTTTTTGCAGCCTGTTTTCGTGGCAACAGAGCGCGTTTGAGGTAGCAATTGCTACCTCAAACACACTCTTTTGACACGAAAACTGGCTGCAAAAAGCTTAATTACCGACCCCCCTCGGTAATTAAGCTTTTTCTGCGGTGATTAAGGGCGGCGGGGCCACCTGAAAAAGCTTAATTACCGACCCCCCTCGGTAATTAAGCTTTTTCTACATGCTTAATTACCGACCCCCCTCGGTAATTAAGCTTTTTCTGCGGTACATAAGGTTTTGTGCGGCGGGGGCCGCCCGAAAAAGCTTAATTACCGACCCCCCTCGGCAATTAAGCTGTTGGTGCAGTAATTGAGGTTTTTGTGCGGCGGGGGCCGCCCGAAAATGCTTAACTACCGACCCCCGCTCGGTAATTAAGCTTTTTGTGGAGTAGTTAAGGTTTTTGTGCGGCGGGGGCCGCCTGAAAAAGCTTGATGACCGACCCCCCTCGGTAATTCAGCTTTTCCTGTGGTAATTAAGGTTTTCGTGCGGCGGGGAGGGTGGCTCATCTATCATCAGGGCTCAGCGTCTTGTGTCGGGCCTTCGTCGAATTCGTGGGCCATGGGATTCAAGACCAATGGGTCGTGTTGCTAGCCAGACGGGGCAGCCTGTGTGGCAACGCGGTATCCAAACAGGGCCGTGCGTTTGTGTGATCTGAGTTTCAGCAGTCTCCCAGTAAGTCTCCCAGTCTCGCCTAGTTTTCCGATTTGTGCCTTAATTCGCAGATTTTTGGACAGAAATCGCCGATTTTTGGCATACCTCATAATCAATGGAGGGTTAGCCTGTGTGTTTTCAAAACAGGAAATTTTCCCGAGGGTGCCTTGGCCATGAACTTGGCTTCGGGGAGCATTTCAACCTTATTCACCGAGGTCAATGCTTAATTGCTGCACAAAACCCCTGTATTATGAAAGTCCACAGCTCTCGCAGAAAAAAATGAGCAGATCCCTTGGCAAGCTTAGTGTTGCAAGCTTTCGCGCCTGGACTGTCGCCCTCGCACGTCGATGTGCATTGCATTTGAAGAGATGGAGCTTCCGGTGTGCAGACGGAAGGGCGATCAGGACATGTCAACTCAAAGGCTTCATGCTGGCACCCTAAACCCTAAACCCTAAACCCTAAACCCTAAACCCTAAACCCTTTGGATCTGTAGGGTAGAGATTTGGAGAGGTCGGAGGGGTAGCATTTGCTGTTCCTGAATTCATAGACCTCGATTCGCTGTGAGAGTTCCCGTGCCAGTGTTAGTTCCTCGCAATTCGGTTCCATGCTCTGCTGCCCCATCCCCTGATATTCCGCTGCATGCGGGCTTCGCTCACCATTCCCGTTTCAGCTGAAAAGCTTCCGTCAATGCAGGGGCCATTCAGAAGCATATGCCTTTGTTTTGTGGGAGCCAACATGAGCGAACTACGCGATGAAGAACATGTGACTGGTGGGGTGTCAGGCGCGGTTGTTTGCACAAGCGCTACGAGATCTCAAGCATTGTCCAACGGGATTGCCGAGGTTTATTTGGAACTCGAACAACCCTAAACCAGCAAAAACATCCCTAGAAGCATTGG